TATTATTTTCTAGACTCTAACACTCGTTTGCGTTTTGAACGTATATGGCCTCAATTAGTTTCTGCAAATGTAGTCATTCGTATTGAGGATTTAATTATTCAGGTAAAATTTAAGAAAATTTATTTAAACATTTTTTAAGGCAATTTCTGAACGTAATACAAAAAAAGATGATATTAGTTATCTTATAGAAGTAAATCAAAATTTAAAAAATAGGATGCCTCAACCTTTATCTTTTGCACATTTGGAGATTACTAGTTATAATTTTCCTGCAACTGACAGTTATCCAGGTTTATTTTCTTGATAACAAAATTTATTCCCTTCGCTCACCGATCAGCGATGCATGTGAGTCGGGTGGATTTCCAAAATTTTGGATCGGGGTTTCGGTCCAGAAAAAGCATTGATTTTGGGTTTAAGGTCGAGTCAGTTAGGGAATTAAGGGGGAAGTATGCCATGTTTTGGAAAATTCCTCTGATCTGGTTTCGGCTCCAAAAAACGTCTGGTTTCACATATAGAGTTTCGGATAACCATGTTATCCCTGTCATCGATTCCCTTAAAATAAAGCAAAAAATTTTTTGTCAAATAATTTTTAAAAATAATTTTATTTTTCGCAGTACCACCAAATTCTGTTTATTTAATGTTGGCACCTTTTGTATTAATTCCTGATACAAAATCTATTCGTTGGTTAATTTATGCATTTGAAAATATTTTAAATTCTTTTGTATGTTTTTTTTATTTTTAAATTTATTATTTTTTCCTTTTTAGGAAGCACCTCAACATTCTATTATTAAACAGGATAATTCTAACGATAAACAAGTTGAAATTAGAATTGAAATGATTATGCCAAAAGTAAGAATTTTAGTTTATTTCGATTTTTTGTAGGATTTTTTGGGGTTACTTAAATTTATTAAAATTTTTCTATCTCCTACAATGATAATTTACAAAGACTTGAGACAATTTATGGGTCCTACTAGGCAAATTTCTAACTCTTTTCGTGCTTAACAATAATTCGATTTGTTTGAAATATTTTAATCTTTGTGAACGAAAACCCAAAAATTTTTGGGGTTTGGATTTTCAGAAAGGCAAATAATTCGTTTTTCTGGGTTTTAAGACTCCAAAGTGTCTTGAATGTTTCTAGATTAATATTTTTTTATTTTTCTGTGAATTTATTTTTTCCTAACTTCCCCAAATTCTAGCTTCAATTTTATATTTTTATTTCAGATTATGCTCAATCCAGATAATTTAACATTAACTCCTCCTCCAACATTATTAAATAAAAAAGAAGATGAAGAAGAATCATCTCGAAAATTTTCTTCTTCGATTACAAATAATCAAGACAAACAACAACCACCACAACCACCAACAATTAATAATAACCAAAATTCTCCAATTTTTCCAAAAAGATTTTTTATTCATTTAACAACAATTTTATTCTCAAATTATACATTACTCAGCGATACAGACATTAATATTCAACTTAAATTTCCTTTAGTGCTAAAATCTAAAGCTCAACGTTATTCTACTTTAAATTTTATTAAATTTGTTGAAAATTTGTGTTTTAATAATTTTATTGGAGAAGAAGAAAAGGAATATTTAATGTTACAAACAATTTTGAGAAGAATAGGTTTTTTTTATTTTTTGTATTTTAGACAGTCGATAACCTCGGTTTTTTAGGCGAACACAAAATTAGATAAACCTTGATTTAAGATAGGGTCTTCTGAAAGAGATGGACTCTTCCATTCTTTAAAAGATGGAAGCGGAAGATCCCTAGTCGGGGACTAATAAGGAAACCTTGCAAACTTTGGCCAAAAACCATAGTATAGGGCAAAGGTGTAGCAAGGGGGCTTCTGGGGTAACAATAAACCTTCATTTTCTGGGCTAACAATAAACCCTCATTTTAAAATAAGAGTTTCTTTACTTTGGGGATCCAAAAACGAGATTTCACTGAATTAATTTTTCAGAAGACTCTGACAAAATCAAAAACTTAATTTGTGATAATGAAAACGAGGAATGGTATTTTTCTGTGCCTACATTATGGGTAGATTGTGATTTTGGTCCAAATACTTGGGAACTTCCATTAATTAATGATTTGAATATTTTTGGTTCTTTAAATTGTTTAATTGATAGAGAAGGAAAAATTAAAGGTTTTTTAATTTTTTTAGATTAAAAAATTTTTAAAAAGGAAATTGTGTACAAATTGAACCTCGTTCAAATATTGATGTAGTTCTTGATCATTTTCAATATGTACAGACTGAAAAACTTGGAGATTTAATTACTGAATTAATTGATCAGATAAATTCAGGTTTTTAATTTTTTAAAATATTTCTTGGCTAACAAAGGACCCACCCGACTTGTGAGTATTACTAAATAATTTTTTATTTTTCTTGGCATTATTTGTTGAAGCTGGATATCTTTTATTGTTAGCCCAATTTTGGCCTTTTTCCCCTTCGGAGCCATTTTAGGTTAGTTATTTGCCTTCAAAGTTTAGGTATTTTTGAGGCGGCTTAGTAACCCTTATTTTCTTACTAAAGAGGAAAATTTTCAAAAAAAATTTTTTACAGATCGCCAATTTTTTGCCAAACACCAAATTGATAATTTTCACAATTCTGTTCCAATTTGCATCTATTTGCACTGTAAAAAGGTTAAAAATATTTATTTTTTTTTTAAAAATAAAATTTTATAATTTTTAAGATTAATTTGCATCTAGTTCTTCCACCAGGACTGTCACCTTCACCTTATGATAACAATTACAATTCTGAATTTTTTACACCCTTAGATGTTTATCCAAGTTCTTCTGGTATGCTTTCTTATTTATTAGAATAATTTTTTCTTGTTTAAGTACACTAGGGATAGGAGCGTTGTTAAAAGGTCGGGCCGGGTTTCGGGTCGAAAAATATCCGAGTTTAGAGTTTCGGGTAACCCGTCCTATTCCTGGTACACATTTAGACACACTTATTTTAGGCTTTAATTTTAGGCTAAGGCATACCCCCAAATAATGGATACCCTCAACTTTAGGCACAATTTTTAGTCGAAAAGGAGTTGGCTCCATACAGGGTGCCAACTAGTATATGATATTTTATTTTTTGTGTCTTGTATTTTTAAAATTTTTTTATTTTTTAAATTAGAAACATCGTCTCATGCCATAAATTATGAAACCCCAAATTCCCCATCATTATCTCAACAAACTACAAATACTAAATCATTAATTTATCCGCAACAAATGACAACAACAAAAAGTGCATCTTCACTTGTAAATTCTTCTTTGAATGAAAAACAAACACCAAAATCCGTTCAGCAACAACAAATTCATCCAAAATCTGCACGTGGAAGTTTAACAACAACAACAGAAACTTCTTTGGGAAATTATGGAAAGGTGAAGGTTTTTTTGAAAATTTTTAGAAATTTTTTTTCAGGGTATTAAAACAGTTTCAAGTTTGCCTAGAGTTTGTGATGTTTTAAATGAGAATGTTATTGATAAAAAACAACAAAAAATAATTAATTATATGGGGCAGACATTTAGCAGTCCTTCATCTGATTTTTGTAGAATGTCAACAACAACACCGGGAGATTTAGGTTTGCTTTTTATTTTTTTGGTTCTTTACTCCTTTATGTAACCAAACCCCTTTATGTATTTGTAGAAAAAATAACTGATTTGCGGATAAAACGAAAAATTCCTAAAAAATTTTTATTCTTAGGGGGTGTATTTTTAACTACGAAAACCCGGTTGGATTTGCTCTGACGGTTTATGATTATTGCCTCCTTTTGATCCAAGGATTTCAGGGTTTTGGTTAGCCTTAAGTTTGAGAAAAAAACTTTTTTTGAAACAAATACTTAAGTAGTTGTCTTTCATTTGACTTTCTTTTTCTTTTTTCGATTTTTCGGGGTTAAAAACACACTCCTTATTTTCTAATTTTTTTATTCCTATTTTATAAAATCCCTCTTTATTTTCTAAGTTTATTTTTCTTTTTAAAATTTTAAAAATTTTATTTTTAAAGAAAGTAATTTTGACGAAACAATATCAATAACATCAGTTTCAACAGAACAAATATGTTATGATAGTGTGTTAAATGATAGAGAAGAAAGTGAAATTTTTGATGAAGATGAAGAGGGGATTGTTGAAGCTGAAGAAGCTAATGAAGAAGAAGAAGATTTTTGTGAAAATAAACAATTAAAACAACAACAAAATAATAAAAATAATTTACAAATTTTAAGACTTAAAGAAAAATTTTTTGGAAGGGAAATTAATTGTTTTGATGTAATTATTGAAGATTTTAATTTTTATTTAAATTTGAATGATGGAAATACTAAAGCTTTTGGATTTGCTAAAAGGTTTGTTGAAAGAAAATTTTTTTTGATAATTATTTTAAGAAGGGAAAGGGACGGGGTTTATTAAAAAAATTTTTTTTGAGTAGAGAATCTAAATAATATATGTGTGTTTACAATAGAGATAGATATTTTCAAAAATCTTGGATCTGGATTTAGGTTAGTAGTATGGATAGGATTCTTTATCTGGAATCAGGAAAAATCCAGGACGATCAAAAAATGTCTGGATCTGAACTCTGGATCCAGGAAAAAATCCAGACTGAATCCAGATCCAGACCGATCTCTAGTTTACAAGGTATATGTATTTGGAATTGGGTGGGTTATACGAAATTCTGACTTTTTTTTCGATTCACAATCAGAACCTAACCTGACTTTTCTTAACGTGTCTCATTCACCAGTGTGTTATGGGCATGCCAAGAATTTTTAAAAAAGCGAAATTGAGACATAGACTCTTACAGAGCGTAGCCATAATTTAAAAGATGTGTGCCTTAAATTAATTTTTTTCTAAAATTTTAATTTATTTTTTAAATAGTTTAAATGTTGATGAACGTTTACACGTTGTTTGTGGAAAAATTTATAATGAAAGAAAAGAAAGTAGTTCTTCCAATACAATTGATGAAACACTTTCACCAAATAAAATAAATGATGAATCTGAAGAAATTTTCGATACAATAAATCCAATGGATTTTGCTCAACTTAAAATTGAATTAAATTCTGTTGGAAAAGAGAGTAATTTGAAGGTTTATTTTAATTAATTTTTAATTAGAAAAAATTTTTTTTTAAAGTTAAATATAGATGGAATAAATATACATCTTGAAAAAGAAATTGTTTCTCAATTGGGACCGTTTTTTGAAAATCAGGAAGTTTTAAATGACTCGTCTAAAGCAGCGATTGAATTGATTTTACAAAATTGTAATATTGAAATAAAGGTTTGTTTGGGGGAATTTTAAAAATATTTTTTTCTTGGGGAATTTAAAAAATACTTGGGGGACATCCCATTTTATCCCCTTAAACAATTTCTTTTGATACCTTAATGAATCTTAATTTGGATATCTTAATTCCTTGTAAACTAGAATTAAAAAAATATTTTTAAAATTCCCCAAGAATAAAATTTTTTTTAATTCTAGTTTACAAGGAATTAAGATATCCAAATTACGATTCATTAAGGTATCAAAAAGAAATTGTTTAAAGGGGATAAACATGGGATGTCCAACAAGTCTCCTTTGGGGCCTCTACTTTAGCCGTCTTTTCCTAAATTGTTGCACATCCATAATTTTGCCTTTTTTTTAAACAAAAATCCAATGATGGAGAATCTGAACAACAAAAATTCCCTTTTACTTTTTAAATAATTTTCTAAACTAAAATTTATTTTTGAGATTTCTCACAAATTTTAAACCTAATAATTACTAATTTTTAAGGAACCTACAAAACGTTGTCCTATTAAAATTCGTCTTGGAGAAGTATTTATTGAGAAAGGTACTAATTCAATTAATGGTGAATAAAACTGCGGGTAATAAAAAGTATATATTTGTTTTAAATACATATATGACAAAACAAAAACATGTTATTGTTTATATAAGGGGGGAAGTTTTAAAATAATAATCTTAAAAGTCTTAACCCTATTGCTTAAAAATTTTTTTTTTGTAATCCAAAAAGTCTTAACCCTTTTGCTTAAAAAAAATTTTTTTTGGAGATGAAAAAATTATAAAAAAGGAGGTTTTTTAAATTCTACTTTGGACTTTTTGGATTAAACTTTTAAATACATATCTTTCTCTGTCTGTCCTGGACTGATTATGTATAGTACATTAGAAATCGGACTGGGAGGGTTGTACAAGAAATCTCTCGATATCTGAGAGATTTTGGTTCTACTTGACTTTATTAGTCCAATCAAAAATTGGATTTTTCTTGCTGTTACAAAGTACCCACCTTTGCAACACCAAGAAAAATCCAATTATTTTTTTATTGGACTAATAAAGTCAAGTAAAACCGAGATTTTTTCCGAGTCTTTTTTTTGTTGGAATCGTCTTGGTCCGATTTCTATACTCTATACTTGATTATTGTTGTTGTAGAGAAAATTAAATATTTATTCTTTCAAATTATATTTTGTAAATTTTTTCACTTTAAATAGAGAAATTAAAAAATATATATATTTTAATAAAATTAAAAAATAATTTTTTCTTTAGTCTAATAAACACACAAACTTAACTAGAACCAAAAAAAGTCAATTTAAGATTATTAAAAATTATTTCCCACCAAATGGGGTCGAACCCCTTCCATTTTCCCAATAGAAACTGAACACTATCCCACTACACCAAAATGACAATTTTTATGGAAGGGGTTGTGTTGACTAGGAGGAGGGGATAGTTAAGTTGTTTGTGTGTTAAAGAGTAAGTTTTAAAGTAAAAATTTATTAAAAAATTTCTTAGCCCGTATATATTATTTTAAAGACCTTTAGATTCAATTTCAATAGTTAAAAACATTCGAAGATTTTCATCTTCAACATTTTTTTCTAGTTCATCCCGAATATGTCTTTTTTGTTCTTCAATGACTTTTTCATCAAGTGGGAGGCTCTAATAAATTTTTAGAAGGTTTTTTAAATTTTTAAATTTTAATTTAAACCTTAACATAATCCAAAACATTGTCGACATATTGGAGCCAGACACCTAGAAAAATAATTTTGAAAATTATTTAAAATTTAATTCGAACAATTTGGACATCCAGACCCGCAACACATTTCTTTTTGTGGAGCTTTTGGGAATTTTGCTGCTTTCACAAAATGGAGGTTTTTCTAAAAAATTTTTTTAAAAATTCTCCAAAAATTTCAAAAAACCTCCTTTAATTTATTTTTACTTTCGTCACAAGTTAATTTACTTGTTGATTGAATTAAACAATTATTTGGGTGAATTAATAAAGTATATTGTTGTGTACAGACTAAATTGTTGCTTGTTTTATTAATCAAACTTGTTGGCATGTTCAATGTATTTTTGGTTGGGGTAAAACAATTTTTATAGAAAATATTTTTGAGCATAAAACTTTCCGGAAACTAAATATAAAGGAAGATAAAACTTTACGGAAAAGAAATAGAAGAGAAGAAAAATAAACTTTCCGGAAAATACAAGAACTTCTGGAAAATACAAAACTTTCCGGAAAAGAAATATAAAGAAAAATAAACTTTCCGGAGTAAAAATAGAGAAGAAAAATAACTCTTTCCGGAAATAGAAATATATATTTATAATTAAACTTGTTGGCATGTTCAATGTATATTTATAAAGGAACTAAACTTTCCGGAAACAAAATAAGCAGTAAATAAACAATTTTCGGAAAAATAAACAATAGTGGGTGGGGAGGTGTACAGTAGAGTCTAATAATATAGAGGGGAGGGCATAAATTTTGAGAAAAAAATTTTTTTAGATAAAAAATTGGAATTGAACTAATAAAAAATAAAATAATATTATTTAAGTGCAATAATTATAAATTCATTTAAATATTTTTAAAAAAATTCATTAAAAGTATCCGGAAAAAAATATATTAAATTTCAGTTAAAAGGGTAGTGGAAAAAATAAAAAATATTTTTATTAAAAAATGTTTCCAACAAAATTTTTTTTTATTAAAAAAATAAGCACAATTTTTACCAAAAATAAATAAAAATGAATAATACTTCATCAGAAAAAATTCGTGTTGTATTTGCTAGGAACCCTCCAGATGCTTTTCCTACTTGCAACACTTTCCCAACTTTAGTACCTAATATTAAATGTCCTTTTCCTGGGTGGATGGTGGAGGTATTTTTTATTCGAGAATTGAAAAAAATTCCAGAAATTTCTAAAAAAAATTCCGGAGAAAATTTCCAGAAAAAAAATTCCGGAAAAAAAATGGCTGTAGTGTAGTGTACCGGTGGTAAAAGTTCGAGACGTAACATATGTCATTCGATTCATCTCGACGAGCTGAGTCGAACGGTACCACTCCCTATTTTAGGAAATAATTCTGGACCGAGTTATAGGTCCCAGAAAATTGAAAAACCAAAGGGGGGAGTAAGGTCGATTTTGGGGTAAAAAATTCGAATATGCAAATAATAGCTCATTCGAAAGAGCTCCTCGAGCTGAGTCGAATGACACCAAAATCAACAAAATCCGACTTGATTTGACAAAGTTATGATCGCTTGTTTTAGCTCCTTACCTATGGTCTCCATGGAGGGTTTTGCTGCTACGGAGGCTCCAGGTATGCCCAGAGCAAGGGAGATAGGAATAGGTTTATGTTACGAGCCCAGACCCACCGCCCGTAGACTCCCCGCGAGGCGCGTGCCGCAAACCCCCGCGCGAAGCGCGGGGGTTTGCACAAGCGCCTCGCCGACTCTCCATAGGTTTATGTTGCTTGTTTTTTGTGTCGTAACTTTGTCTAATCTTGTTCGATCCCGGTGATTATGGTGTCATTCGACTCAACTCGTCGAGCTCTTTCGAATGAGTTATTATTTGTATAAAAAAATTTTATTCCAAAAATCGCCCCTTTGGATCTTCGATATTTAGGGGCCTATATCTCGGTCCAATCAAGTCGGATTTTGTTGATTTTGGTGTCATTCGACTCAGCTCGAGGAGCTCTTTCGAATGAGCTATTATTTGCATATTCGAATTTTTCACCCCAAAATCTAGCTTACTCCCCCCTATGGTTTTTCAATTTTCCGGGACCTATAACTCGGTCCAGAATTATTTCCTAAAATAGGGAGTGGTGCCTTTCGACTCAGCTCGTCGAGACGAATCGACTGACATATGTCACGTCCCGAACTTTTACCACCGGTACACTACACTATATCCAAAAAAATTCCGGAAAAAAATTCCGGAAAAAAATTCCGGAAAAAAATTCCGGAGAAAATTTCCAGAAAAAAAATTCCGGAAAAAAATTCCGGAAAAAAAATTCCGGAAAAAAATTCCGGAGAAAATTTCCAGAAAAAAAATTCTGGAAAAAAATTCCGGAAAAAAATTCCGGAAAAAAAATTCCGGAAAAAAAATTCCGGAAAAAAATTCCGGAAATTAAAAAAATTTTCTGAATTTTTCAAAAAATCCGGAATTCCGAAAAAAATTTTTTTCAAGGTAGTCAAAATGTTGGCAGACAGTTTACATTTGGAAATTGAACAAATAATAATTGAATCAAAAATTGGTTCTGTCAATTGGGGCCACCAATTTGACCCAACCACCGAGGATGCCGAGAAGGCTTTTACTCAAAATTATGGCCTTCAAGAAAGAGGGAATTGGACAGGAATTTTAGGGCTTTTGGAGGCGGGATTGGCCGATACTGTTTGCACATTATATCCTTATACTGAACAAAAAGCAAAATTTTTTAATTTTTCGCATCCAATAACCGGGGTATTTTTTAAGTAAAAATTAAATTAATTAAAAAATAAAAAAAAGGTAAGGGACATTTACATTGCAAAACCAAAAAGGAAGAGTTTGTCGGTATCCCTTTGGAATGCCTTCTTTCCCTATGAGCGCTCGTTATGGTTTCTTCTCCTCTTCTTTTTATTGCTTCAATGTGGAGTTGCTTCGCTTGTTGCGAATATGGAATACAGACTTAATCTCCGTCCAACTTATAATCCTCTTGAGGTAGTTAAAAATAGAGAGACTAGAGTGAACTTTCCGGAAAAACAAATAATAAATAGAAAATACTTTCCGGAAGAACAAATAAATTAAAATTATAAAGCTTCCGGAAAAACGAATAAAATAGTATAATTAAACTTTCCGGAAACAAATAGCTCTGAAAACAATGAAAATAATTTATTTCCGGAAAAAACAAATAACAATAAAAACTTTCCGGAAAACACAAATAAAATAGTATAATTAAAGTTTCCGGAAAATATTAATTTTGAACGAGTAAACCTTTTTACTTTCGTCTTTTTCTTAAAATAACTTGTATTTTTTTAAATTTTTTAAAAGAAAATGTGGCAATACCTCAGATTACAAATCCATCAAGCTACAGAATTTCAAACTCCTTTTTTTCTCCAATCCGGTAATTTTAAATAATTATTTAAAAATTTAAATAATAAAATAAAAAGGAAATTTGGCATTCATCTTTTACGCTCTAATCCAAGCAACTCTTTTTACACAACTTTATACGGCTGTACTTCTTTCTTCGTTAATTAGAGGAGAAAATCCAAGGCCTTGGGAAAATTATAACGAGATGGTAGGTTTTACCGGAAACAATTGTTATTTTATTTGTTTTCCGGAAACTTTTCTGAAACAGTTTCCGGAAAGTTTCTTTTAATTATTACATTTTCCGGAAACTATTATTTTATTTGTTTTTCCGGAAACCTTAATATTTATTGGTTTCGGAAACTATGTAATTATTTCCGTTATTTCCTGAAAATGCTTCCGGAAAGTTTCCTTTAATTATTATATTTTTCCGGAAACAATTATTATTATATTTATTTCCGGAAACTAAAATTCTTTTCATTGTTCTCTGAAATTATTTGTTTTTATTTGTTTTTCCGGATAGTTTATTTTATTATTTGTTTTTCCGGAAACTAATTAATATTTATTGGTTTCCGGAAACTTTTCTGAAAATGCTTCCGGAAAGTTTCCTTTAATTATTATATTTTTCCGGAAACAATTATTATTTTATTTCTTTTTCCGGAAAGTTCAATTTTTAATATTTATTTATTTCCGGAAACTATTTATTTCCGTTATTTTCTGAAAATGCTTCCGGAAAGTTTCCTTCAATTTATTATATTTTTCCGGAAACTATAATTATTATTTTATTTATTTCCGGAAACTAATTATTTCCATTGTTTCCTGAAATTATTTGTTTTTCCGGAAACCTTAATTCTATTCGTTTCTAATTTTATTTGGTTTTCCGGATAGTTTATTTTATTATTTGTTTTTCCGGAAACAAATAAAATTTATTTGTTCCTTCCGGAATGTTTTTTTTTCTTTAAAATTAAATTAAAATATTACAATTAAAGATAAGACTAGTCAAAGCAAATGAATACACTTTAGTTATGGACAAACACCATTTGGAAAAAGATAACAGGCATTAAAAATTTAATCGAAATTTAATTAAAATATTTTTTCAGTTTTTTTGAAATGTTGAATTTTACTAGAATGAGTCATTTACGAAATTTAGCAAGTGCTTTAGACACTAACCCTATTCGGGTTGTTGATAATGTTAGTGTTGCACTTGATTTTGTTGAAAGGTAAAAATTGTGTTTTCCGGAAAGAAAAATAAAAAAAATAAAATTTAAAAAATTAAAAGAGGAAGTTTTATTTTACCAACAAAACAGTACAGTTTAGCCTATCAGTTGAGTAAAGAACGCTGTGATTTATTTTATTTTGAAGATGGTTAGAGTAATTTTTTGGAAAAAATTAAAAAAAAATTAATTTAAATAAAGATCACAATCAAATCCCAACATTTTTCATTTTTTCTCGTCACAATCAAAAATTACTTCATAAATGGAATCGGGCAATACAAAAAAATCAGGCATTTATTAGGCGAACTTATGATAAAGTAAATTAATTTTATTAAAAATTTAAATAAATTTCAAGTATTTCTTTAATGATTTTAATACCGGAAAAATCCCAAATTGTATAAAATCGGATGGAGTTAATGGAGGGGGATTAGCTACTTCTACTTCGTCGTCTTCTGGAGGGGAGGATGATAATTATGGAGAGAGTTTTTCGAAGCAATTTAGTTCAAATAGTGCTAGAGATGCTTCTCGTTCTTTAGGTGAAAAAAATTTTTTCTAACAAATTTTTTAGGAATATTTCTTAGGTTTAATCTTTTTAATACTGCATAATCCTTTTAATAAAACAAATAAAATAGTTCCCGGTACAACATTTCCGGAAAATACAAATAAATAAATTTCCGGAAAATACAGAAAGAAATAAATTATAATACATATAGCAAATAAACTTTCCGGAATTTTCCGGAAGTACTAATAAATCCAGGTGTATGTAATATAGTAATAGACAATATTTCCGGAAAAATTATAGTGTAATAAATAAACTTTCCGGAAAATACAAATAAATAGCTAAATATTAATGGACAACATTTCCGGAAACACAAAAAATACAAAAAAAAACAAATTAAATTTCAGACATTTTTGCAACATTTGGAATTTTTCTTATCGCCCTTCTTGGATTTGGACTTGCTTTTATCGCATTTATTTTTGAATTAATTATTCATTCAAAATCACAAAGAATTCTCAGAAAATGGAGAACCCGTCGAGCACTTATTATGGGGAATCCTACTATGCCTATTAATTTAATGTTAATTGCTAGGGGATTTAATGAAGCTAGACAACAACAGCAACAAAGAGCTTATAAATTTGGAGTATCAACTTCCCTTTCTTCTACTGTTGCTGTTGAAAGAAATGAATTGTTAATGATTCCGGCAGATTTGCTAAATGCTAAGAAAGGTGAAATGTTTAAACTTTCCGGAAAGGAAATATATAATGAATTTCCGGAAAAATACATTTAAATAATCTTCCGGAAAGACATATTTAAATAAACCTTCTGAAAGAGCATATAAATAAACTTTCCGGAAAGAAAGAAACTTTTCGGAAAATACATAACTTTCCGGAAACAAAGAAATTTTCCGGAAAATACATAAAACTTTACGGAAAACACAACAATAAACCTAATTTAAAAACTTATTCAGCTCCTCCCCGGTTATCTAAAACTGTTGGTAGAAGTTGGTGGCGTCATAAAGTTCGAGAAGGACATTTAAACAAAAATAATAATTCAACATTTTCAAACACAAATAGTTGCGGGGATGGTGGGGGTAATAATAGTGTTGCCGATAGTTGGGATCGTCAACGATCAGTTATTTCAGCCCTCACCTTAGCTGCGATTTCAATACAAAATGAGGAAAAACAAAAGAAGGATAAAATTGTGATAAATGAAGAAAATAAAGAAGAAAATGAGGTAAAAATTAAGAAATTTTTGAATTTAAAATAAATTAAAAAAAAAGATTGAATTGAGAAATCGAAAAGAAAGAAAAGAAAATAGTAATAAAGTTGCAACACAAATACTGAAATGTGGAAATTGGGCGGTACTTACAAATAAGAGTGATGATGTTAGTATTAAAAATGCTGATGAATATTATGATTGTTCAGAACGTAAGTGGGCAAGAACTGCATTTTGAACTGTAATCTTGTTTCTATTGAACAAGTTTATAAAAATATATATTACGTTTCCGGAAAGTTTTATTGTATTTCTATTTTATAAAATTTTCCCGGAAAGTTTGTTTGTATTTCTATGTATTTTTAACCTTCCGGAAAAAATTTTCTGTATTTTTTTGTATTTTCAGCCTATCCGGAAAGCTTGTTTGTATTTATTTGTGTTTTGAAAACTTTCCGGAAAAAAGTTTTAAATTTCATTGTATTTTTATCTATTTGTTTGTATTTTTATCTTTCCGGAAAGTTTTTATTTGTATTTCTTCATATTTAATTAAAATTTCCTTCAAGTTTGTGTTTTTGTAAGGAATAATTGTATTTATTTGTATTTTCTATTTCTTCCGTAAAGTTTTTTTGTATTTTCTTTTAATTAATATCTATTCTTGTATTAACTGACCGAAAAACTTTTTATTTTAGGAGATTTACTAATAAATAAATCTTTAAAGTAATAAAGTTTTTTGGTCATTTTTATGTGCGCCTTTTGTGTCGTAAAAGCTCGCTCATTTTAATCTCTGGTAGAAAAGCAAGTCTCTCTTCCCTTTTTAACCACAATATTTTTTAGGCGTTTCCATCGTTCTACATGTTTATTTTTTTCCTCATCAGGCAGAAAATCCGCTTGTATAAGGAAAGAAAATTATTTTTAAATAAATCAATTTTTAAAAAAATATAAAAAAATATTTTGTATTTTTTAAGTATTTTATAAATCTTTCCGGAAAGTTTGTTATTTGTATTCTTGATTTCCGTAAGGTTTATTTGTATGTATTTATTTGTATTTTAAAAATTTTTCCGGAAGTAATAATCATCACTCCTTTTTTACAACTTAAAAAAAGTTTTATTTATCTAAATTAAACTTTCCGGATCGAAAACACATTGAAACACAATTCTAGGTAAAACTTTATTCCTTTTTTAATTAGGGGCGTCCGGAAAGCTAAATAAACTTTCCGGAAATTTATTTAAAAATAAACTTTCCGGAAATTTATTTAAAAATAAACTTTCCGGAAATTTATTTAAAAATAAACTTTCCGGAATATTTTACAATTAGAGTCTCTAAATAAATTTATTTAATATTTATTTAAATTAATAAAAATAATTAATTAAAATTATATTTTTAAATCAAAACATATTTTTAATTATTTTTATTTTTTTAATGTTCGTGCTCCATTTTTGAAAAGAATTCTTTTTATTTTTACAACCCCTCTTTTTTAATTATTTTTCTTTAGCGACAATAAATATTCACGGCAGCTGTTTTTAAGTAATTTAATTTAAATAAAAAATTAAAGAAATTTTATTTAAAAAATTATTTTTCACTTCTTCCATTTATTTTATTTGGCCTTTTTTAATCAATTAAATAAGCGCCCTGGTCTGCTGTTTGGTTGGCAATTTCCTCCCACTTTATTTTTTTTATTTAATAGTGTTTTAAGGGGAGTAGAAATTAGTTACTTCTACTATTCACTGGTGGTCTCGAGGGAATTAATTGAATGAAAAAAATTGAATGGGAGAGAAACTAAATAAAATTTACTGATATATTTTAGTAGAAGTAAGGCCATTCATGTGCACTCATATTTTTTAGAAAAAAAATTTTTTTTTATTTTTATTATTTTAACACTCGAATTTTAATACCTTCACGCGCTACCTTATTTTTTTAATTTTAAAAAATTATTTTTTAAAAATTATTTTTCTTAAAAATTATTATCAAAAAGATGGATATATCCTAATAATCATTATTTTAATTAAAAATAAAAATAAAAATTTTTAAAATTTTTTCAATTGAATTTTCTGTTAGTCTTCTTTAAAATAAATTTATTATTTCTCTCAAAATCATTTTTTGACCAACATTATTTTTTTAAAAATATTTTTAAAAATAAAATTTAATTTTAATAAATTTAATTATACACTTAACTATATTCATTATTTTAATTAAAAAAATAAAAATAAATTTTTAAAATTTATCCAATTGAATTTTCTGTTAGTTTTCTTTAAAATAAATTTTATTATTTCCTTCAAATCAATTTTTGTCCTAAAATTTTTTTAAATTTTAAAATTCAATTTTATTTAAAATTATAAATGTGTTAATCTTTTTTATTTACATGTCTCTCTTTAAAATTATTTTTTTTACAAATTAAAAGGTGTCTAGCACACAAAATTATTTTGTTTTGTTCAAATAAAGTATAGGCGAGAAAATAAAGGGGAGTCGATATGTAGAGAAGAACCACATTAAAATTGAGGGGGATTTGTATATTAACAAATAAATTTTACAAAAAAAGATTTTATTATGTCATCTTTCTCGTCACCTAAATATTTTACTTAATATATATTTTTAAATTAATAAAAATTAATTTCCAGTTAATATTATAAATTTAATTAAATATTAATTAAGAGACATAAATAATGAGTCCACCTTGAGTTTTTTTTTGTTCCTTATGATTCTGATTTTTTACCAGAAAATAGGCAACTCTCTTTTAGGATTATAAAGAGATATAATTTGAATTCTGATAATATTTTGTTGAATTTTAATAATTATTTAATTCGTTAAACTCGTGGGAAAGGCCAATTATTTCTCTAAGCAATTCAAAAAATAAAGTTTAAAGATAGAATTGAGTTTAAGATTTTATTTTCTTAAAAAATATTTGGGTGTTAGCCAAATTTAAATTTTTGCTTTTGGAAAATCTCAAATTTTTATTAAATCTACAAAATCCTTCATCCCTCGTTTTTTTTGTAATAATAATTACTAATTAATTAATAACTCGGTACTATTTTATCTTGACCTACCTAATATTTAATTATAACATCTCAACTAATAATAAAACACTAAAAACGTCTTATTTATTTTCATATTTTCATTTATTTTTATTAAATAAATAATTGTATATTATGTACATTTATCACTCAAACCCTTATGTGTGTGTCACAAAAATTTTTTTGGTTGTTTATATTTTCTTAAAAAAATTTTTTTGTTCAAATTTGAAGGACACATTTATATTTGAAAGAATTCCAAATCAATAAAAATAAAATATTTTTTAATTTTTTATATGGCCAGAAAAAAATTATTTTTTAATAAAAATAAAATTAAATAAATAATTAATGGAATTTAAAATATTATTTTTATTTATTTTATTATTTATTTTAAAATTATTGGATGCTCATTTTTGTGGAAATAATAAAATACCTTATGGTTAATTAATTTAATTTTTAAATTTAAAATTTATTTAGGCGTTGAAGTTTATCATAATGGACAGCCTGCTTTACTCTGTTCTAAACCAAATTGTTTTGAAAAAAATTATGCCGTAAATTTTATTAAATAAAATTTTAATGGTTAAAATAAACTTCTTTCCCTTCCTTCACTATAGTAAAAATCAAAACCCTCAATATAATGGACTCCCTATTTAATCAACTCCATTAGACTCATGATCAGGGCTGTCCGCAATTGTGAATTGCGAACTGAGGATTGCGTAAATTGCGTGGGTTTTTGGACTTGCGGATTGCGGGCTCGGAACTTTTTCTCGCTTGCGGACAGCCCTACTACACATTAAAGTACTCCCTCCTCTCTCAACCTCCTTTTAAAAAAATCAAAATTTAGTATATAATCGGCTCGGTAAATGTCCAGTTGGCGGTCTACTTGTCCGCAAAGAGCAGATTCTCTTTGCGGACATGTAGACCGCCAACTGGACATTTACCAATCGGCTCTCTATATAGTTGCACTTCCTTTAATGGACTCCGATCCCGGTTCTAATGGACTCCACTCACTCTACTCATCTTAAAAAATATCAAAACTCTCTATATAATAGACGCCTTTATAATACACCTCCCTTTCTAATGGACTCCTCTCCTGGGTCTATTCTTGTCCTCCCTTTCATTTTAATTTTAACAGGACTGTGATGAAAGAGCTATTCACAAATCTTGTAATTCAAATACTTCGTGGGTAGGAGGATTTGATAAAAGCTATGGAAATTCACAACCGTAAAATTTAAAAAAATTAAAAAAATATTTTATTAAATTTGAAAGACTTTATGTCCAATGCTGTGAATTTGAAAATCTTCCAATATTTTCTAAAGAATTATATTCTAATGTATCTTTTTTTGAATTTAAAAAATTTAATTAAAGGGTCTTTACGTAATTTAAAGTCTTCCGTAATTTAAAGAGAATTTCCGTATTTCCTAAAATAAAGCCGCGTGTTAATTTATTTTTAAAATATCCTTCAGAGAAGGAATAAATAGAATAAATAGAAATTTAAAGTTCTCAAGGAGCTTTTGGAGGAATTTTCCTAAGGGGCCATTAATTATTTTTTTGGGATGGATGCAAGGAATATGAGTGTCCTTAATGAAAATTATTTTAAACTAAAATAACCTTTAAAAAATATTTTTTCAAAAAATTAAAGGTATTAATACGTCCTGGTGAATATTTTGAAGGAGAAGAAATTTTGGATAAATTTGGAGAGGAAGTATTAGCCTTCGATTTTATTAAAAATATGAGAAAAGTTGGGGAGAAAGACTCGTAAGCTTAATTAAAATTAATTAAAATTAATTAAATTATTTAAAAGAATTGGCTATTTAATTGATATATGGAGGTTTCATTGTGATCAGATGGTTAGACCGAAAAGATATAAACCTTGGAAATGGCCTTAAAAATTGTTAAAAAATTTTTAAAATTTAAATATACGAATGATGCTCATTAAATAATATTTACTTAAATTTATTTTTAAATATTTAAATTATATAATTAAATTTTTTAAATCTGTAAATAGTATCTTACTGTATATTTATTGGGTACAGTTCGACTTTGTAATTGATATATTAATTATCCTTATCAGTTTTAAATTCACCGACCCCGAGCTCTTTGAATGTTTCAAGTATTAACCAATTAATATGTATACCATAATATATAATACAATATATAATTTTTTAATATTTTTTTTAATTGAATATTTTCAAATTTGATTTTCTTGATGGTGATACGTGGCAACTCTGAGTCT